AGGAGTTATGATGTTGAACATAAGATTTCTTGAGCAGTGACTTGTGGGAGATAAAATATAGATTCAAAATACTATTTTGATAGATAACTCTGATTTTGAATTTGAAATAAAACGAATTAAGATGAATATGGGGGTGGACTTGAAGTTTTGGTGATTTTTATAACAAATGTCTGTTTTACATATTGTTTACTAAGTACTGCATCCCAGCATTATGTTTCACTTTTATATATATGTATTTCACATATGCCCCCAGTGAATCAGCAGTAAATCTTAAGGGCTTGTACCACTAAAAATTGGGTTTCAATACTCATGGTGGACACAACACAGAGAGCCCATTGTGTAGCTTTGTGCTTAACAACAAACAAGTAATTTAACATATACAAAAAAAGTAAAAATAAAAATGTTGACAGTGTGACCACAGACCTAATAGTTTCTTGTTCATTATTAAAGATGTTTAAATAGTGAAGTGCAATGAAGAGTATCAAAATATTTGTCAAATTTGTTTCATAGTTAATGGGAAGGGGAAAAGCCAAGTATTGCTCAGTCAAAGCCTACCCACTTTGTGGTCCAGCTACGAGTCTGTGGGGTCTTATAACACTAAAAATTGTTACGATACCTATGGTGGGTACAGCACAGATAGCCAGTTGTGTGAATTGGTCTTAACAACAACAAAAAACAATTAACATCATATTCCACATATTTTGATCTGTAATTTTGTAATGTTAAACTGTCTTAATCTGGCAAAGTTCTTGAAGTCAGTTTCTCAGACTACACAGAAGGGGCCAAACATGGCTTAGTGAACTTAAGATTACATGATTTGTGCCCACTTACCACCAAAATAATAAGATGCCCTCTGCTCTTGGAGAATGTAGGTGTGTTATAATAGTGACTGTCAAATCCTACTATTCGGTCTGATAATAGTTGGCTATGGGTGATGTTGACTAACTGCCTTCAATTTATCACTTCGTAGTTAGGGACAGATAATGCATGTCCGATAACTGTTGAGTAGCCTTGCATGCAGTTCAACAAAACGAACAAACTACATGCAAGACACCATGACAAAACTATTTAACATATAAGCTCCAACAGAAAAAAAAATGGAGTGCAATATATACTGTAACTCATAATAAACACAAAACTGGATTATACAAGATAAAATATTGGGAATTTAAAAAGCCTCCATATACAGATAATAAAAAGTAAGGAAACAAGGCTGGTGACACTGTAGACATTATTTACTCAAATAACATATTATTTTGGCTTCATGCTGTTACCTAGAATTGCATTTAGTGGATTCAAATTAGGGATTTGTATTTTGAGTAAACAATGTCTACAATATATCCAGCCTTGTTTCTTTACTTTTTTTTACTATGCCAATTTGCAGATTTTTAAATTAACAATTTTTTATTTATATTGTTTGCTGGCATTTTTTATGCTCAACTATGGGCAAAGGATTACTTGATATGGTAGCTAGCAAATACAGTTCATGATGATTTACTGTAACTATTGACTACTTGATTGCATTAGTTCGAGATTTAAAATATTAAGCTGCAACTGGAGATTTGTTTGAGAATATAGTGAGCATTTATAGTTTCTGTGTAAATAAATTCTCTCTATATATATATATAATGCAAAGCAATGGGCAAATATATATATACCTAGACTACAACACAACTCCCACTAAGCATATATGAAATTTTACTAGTAGAAAAGCAGCCTAAACATTTAAAACACACATGTCTAAAACATCACTTTAAATAAACCTTTGTGTCTTTTAAAGTAATTATTCTACAAATGTGTGTGTAATAAAATGTTGTTATGTGTGTTGATTTTTTATACTCCATACATAATATAGAGGTTGGCTTCCTAAAGACACCGATTGTAAAGTGTACAAAGCATTGAGTATCTAAATGTTAGTCATCTGTTATTGACTGGAAATTCCTGTTTCATCCAGTACTTAAGCTTTTTGAAGGAACAACAGATATTTGTAAGAAAGTTAACTTCAAGGGCTAATGATAACATCGTTTACAGTAGAAGTGTGGTGTTTTTTATCTTATGTAAAATATAGAAGAAACAAATTGACTTTTCAATATCCCCTTATGACCTTTGCAGTACCTTATTTAGAATTACACAAAAGGTTTAGGTGCAATATACCAAGCCCTTCTTGTTGTAGGTTAACAAGAGAATAATAAGAAAAATAATTACAGACAGGCGTTGTGAGCGAATCTTCTTTTCCTTGTAAGTATAACATGCGCGCTATTTTTTGCATTTTTATATGTGTACAGCCTTAGCAGTCAGTAGTAAAGGTTTTAAAGTGTTGTTTGAACTGAATCTTTACTGTTTAAGGTGCGTTTTGCCCGAACGTTCTATTAGGGTTTTGTGCAATTCCTTGCGATCCTTATTATGAATCACCATAGTGGTTCATGACAGCAAAAATTAAGATGATCACAGGTCAATGGATCATAACCAAGTTTCGGTGTACAGTTCAAAATGAAATACAGTTTTCGATACGAAAGCTTTCACTTTTTACGTTTAAAATTCTGATAAAACCTCCATTCAGTTCAGGTAACTGAAATCATAAAACCATTGTTGCACAAGAGAAGCTAAATATTCTTCAAATGTTTAGGAAAATACTCGGGTCTCTCGGGATAAATCCATTCTTTTTTTTTACTTTGATTTCCTGGTCTATTAAATAAATATGGCGTTTTTATTGCCATACGATTTACGACTAGGAAGGCCTCCCGCTGTCATTTTTTGTAAGTTATTTTATTTTTGTATTGATGTTGTATTTAACCTTAGTGCAAATGTTGTTCACCGTTACAACTGAGTTTCCTCGTATATACTTCGGTTCTTTTTCGAAAAATCCACTCATGTTTACAGTTAAAAATTCAGAATATGAAAGAATAAAATACTAACAGACCAGCTCGCTGGCCATTCAGATTAAAGAGAGCGAAGATAGCTCGTGATAAAGAATCTTGTATTTGTTTTTTATAGTGGCTGTTAAAACTTCCCAACCGGAAATAAATGATATGGAAAACTTTTAACATGTTAATTAGAATATGTCAATTTAGCTACTTTTGTTTAGTGTGCACTTCTCTATGACTTGTATTTCTCAGTAATAACAAGGAAATTGTAGAATTTATTTTTTATAAACAGTTCATTTGGTAAATTGTCGTGAATTGTATGAAAAACAGTAAAAGCTAACTGATGTAGTAATGACGTCAACAATGCTTAACTTCTGTTCCTTCAACATGTGTGAGGAAGAGTATTATAAATTATAATAATACGTTTCGGGTAATTTTTGTACAACTATATTGAGAACTTATCGGAGAAGTGCGTCGATAGAATATCAGTCGCTGTCACGGTTTCAGGAAGTGGACCTTTCTTCTTTAGGGATAAATGGTAAGGAGTACACTCACCCAAAGCTCCCAGGTTTAAGGCCTCAGTTTTTTATTACTTTACTTTTGTGACCCTTTTCCTTTTAAATTTAAAATTGTTGCGATAGTTTATGTTACTTGGTGGTTTTTTATTATATATATTAATTACTATTTAGTTTATATCTTATGCTTTTTTCGACATTGTTTTCCGTCGTAGATGGCCATATAGGTTATCAAACATAATAATATATACACACACATACATTTTTTTTTGTGTGTGTAAACTGTTAATAATTTTTTTATTACATCATTATTGCATCATAAGGACGCAGTAGAACGACTAACTCAGATGTAGTTTCTCAAGTGACTGTGATATTATAGGTGGACTTTAGTTATTACAAATAAAACCATGCAAGAAACAGGGGTTCTGTAAAGTTGTGACCCTAGAAATTTTTTCACAACCACAAGAACGTATAAAAAATTGTGATTGTTGTAATTTAATTTATAGAGTTTAGTCGAGTTTTCAAAACATTACATCTCAGGTAAATTATTCTTGGTCCTTGTAAGGGTGCTCAGTGAGTTATATACAAATGTCTATGAGTAGAGTTATCTAAACTTGAAAAATACTATACCCAGTCTCTAACCTTTATGCCTTGGCTTTCAAACTTCTCAGTTATTATTAGTTATGTACGTATTATCTTTTCCAAATGTAATAAACTAGTCATAATCATACCTATCGGATTTTATTTACTTTTTTTTCAAGAATTCCGAAATTCACTTTACGTGTTCATCAGTATGAACATTGATATTCACTTAATAGCATTGAAATAAGGCATGAATGAATGTTTTATATTAACTATGGTGTGAGTTTTTGGTATTTTCCGCATGTAACCACATTCTAAGCTAGTATTCGTAGTAATGTGCATGTAAACTATATGAAGTATTCGTTTACAGTTGCTCTATGTTTTGAATATGAGTTTGTCAACGAAAAGAAGCATGGCGAGATATTGGCTGCCAAAACTATTACTAGTTGTTTCACTGTTTGGTAAGACATAATATTCATGGATCACAATGTCTTTATCAAATATAAAAACTTGTGTTACCCAAGAAGTCTCTGTGCCCACGTAGGTGTATTTTGCGTTTTATCGTAACTTGTGGTCACGGGATTGCAGTCGAATCCCAGTGAACGGAAGTTTGAATTGGAGGCAGACGTTTCTCCCTCCCTCTTCCTCCTAACAACTAACCATCTGCTTGCTTCTTGTATATTACCAGCAGTACATTCCACTTAACATTTCTATTCACCATGCATGTCTTGTCTTTTTCAAAACGCGTGTATCTGTTCGTTGTACTAAGCTAGATTTGCGGTTGTTCCGCTTTTACATGTATTTGTGTTCGCCAGTTCTAGATTGACAGAATTTTTAGTTCCTTGATTATGTTATCATGCTTTTGTTTCTGCAACTTTCCGTTATTCTCCAAGTTACAGAAATGATTATTATATCATTAAGTATACTTGGAAAATTGTTATCTTGTTAAACGTTACTGACCTCTGCGTAATTCAACGACAAATTATTAGAAGTTTTGTCGTGTGACTAGTTCATAGTATAAACTATTGAGATTCCACAGGACCCAACTTGTGCTTGTTTCCTTGCCACTATACCACCGCTTTATAGGAAGCTAGCCAGGATGACCATGGGGCTGGTGTTGTGTTGCTCCGCTGGCCAGTGGGGCAAGAAGGAAAGGCGGCTCAGGTATATATATATATATTTAGTTTCACTGGTGCGACAAAATGCTGATATGCTTTTTCATCATAATTTGGATACATTATGATATTTTTTTAGGAAATGGCATACTTCTCCAAGATAATCTAAATATTATTGAAAAGATGTGCATACTGGTTTTATATTTTCTGATAATAAGAACATTGTGAGGTTGATAAGTTTTTCAATTGGTAAACTCTTTATATGTAACTCTTAATTTTTTAACTTTCATAACAAAGTTACTTTGATATTTTGTACATTTTTTGTTTGTTTACATTGTAACTGTTGTTTGATGTTCATACTTGATTTACTTAATAGTGAAAATTTGGGATTTTTGTGCTAAAGTGTTTTGTTGTATGCAAAAACTTCGGTATGGTGTATAAAGTCAACATTTATTGCCGGGACTATGGCAAAATCTGTATCTTTTCCGGCTTTAATTTTAGACATTGTTTTTTCAATGTTTCAAGCATGAATGATTTTTTATACTGTTTCAGTTGTTTAAAGGAAATAATTTGGGTTTATTTATTTCGTAGCTTACGTAACAACGGTTATTTAAATTCCTGAATTGTTTGGATGTGGTAAATGAGATGACATTATTAACAAGTAGACATTCATGTGTATAGTTAAAGAGTGTACTTGATCGTTCTTATGGAACTTAAATGATTAAAAAGTAGCGGAGGTAATTTTTTTAAAATTTATAAATGTTCGTAATTGTATCATTTCAATTTTTGTCATGAATTCTAAAGAAGACTTACAACAGTGTTAAAGAATGTCATGACTTATGTGTGAACTACAAGAAGGAAAACTAAAAAATACTGTTTTCTTAAATACTGATTTTTCATTTATATGAAAGAACCAGTGGCTTTCTAATTTCACGCTTTGTTTTCACAGTGACCATTATTGCAAGGATCCAGAAAGTGACCGTAATTATCGTGAATGCAGTCCAGAAAAAGAAGTTCGTGCTGTTCGTAAAGGTCATGGCCGGAGTCGTCGTCGGGATTATAGCCGACATCGTCGTCGTCGCCATCACGGCAGCCACTCTTCTGACATCTCGGACAGTTGTGACTCAAGTTATCACAGTCATAGTTCAGGTAGTCGCCAGCGACATCGGCGGAAATGCGCCGACCGTGATCGCAGTCGGCGCTACCGTCGTCGCACCCGTAGTCTCAGTTCACGGGTAAGTACCGTCGATGCCCACTGGAAATTTTATTTATTTCTCGGGTTCCACTTTCTTGGCTTTCTAAACCTCACTGTTTATGTAAATGAAAAGGGTTACTTATTTATTTCGAATTTGCACTGCATAAATTCATATATTTACAATCTTAGATTTTCACAGATATATTTATTTCCCATATCTGTACCTGTGTTTTGTAATATATAATCAGGCACTACAATGTTCACTGGTTAAGTAAAATTAGTGTATAGTGTCTGCATTTGTCACAAGCTAATTATGTGAACAGTTTGAAGTATCTGTAGATATATATATAATATCACAAAACAGATGATAAAATAAAAATTATCTTTAGGAAATACTGCATGTTTTGTGTAGAATTAATTATTGTTGATTGACCATCCCAAGAATAAATGACTTTATAAAATATTTATAAGCTTCATAATAATTTTTCCACAAAATTAAATATATTTAAAGTTTAACTGGGCAGGATGTATTAACTTAAGAGCTTGTAATGTGTATATATATATTTTTTCAATAACACACAACCAAAGTGCAGGTAATTATTCAATTTTTTAGAAAACTTTACCATTCAATAATTATTCATATTCATGTTTTAACTTCTCAAGATCCAATAATATTTAACTTTTGTAAAGGGATTTTTTATGACATGTTTAGTTTAGTTCTGCATGAAAATGAAACATTTAAAAGCCATGTGATGTTTTAGTTCTGTAGATAGTAACCCTACATATTATAAATACTTAAACAATTTATTTTAAGTTCAGTTTTGATATTATGATTATTTGCTGACATCTACTTTGTTTTTGATGGGGCAGACTAGAAGAAAGTAAATAATGCTAATTATTTACTCTCAGTTCACCCAGTTGTTCAGTGATTCTTGATGTGTAGGCTGTAAATCATGATGATGATGATACACTAGAGTATTCTTTGTAGGGCTAGGTAATTAACCTGGTTAATCCATATAATTAATTAATGTCACAAAAATAATCAACTAATCAAAATTAGTGTTTCAGAATACTACTGTTTTTGATTATTCAGTATATCTGTACAAGGCAGTAGAACATTCTTTAGGTTCAACATCTAAACACCAGAGTTAGTGAAGGAATAATAATAATAATTACAACCAAAGTAAACATACTTACTAGACTTTTGAAGTAACACATTTATAGTTTGTGAATGTAAATAAGCAAAGCAGAAATTATGTGTATAGTTTATATGTAAAAGGTAAAATGCTACAGCATTAAAATATCTAGAAATAACAAAATGTTTCAAAAGATGACTGTGTACCATAAGAGATTCAGTAAAACAATCTTCAAAATATTTTCATTAAAAAGACTATAGCTCAAAAAGTGATATGACCTGTTATGCTGTTTATGTATTAAGAGTTTAGCTATTCTTAAGTAAGAGGTCAAGTGTTAAATAAAATTTTTGATTTTTCCATAATGAAACCCTATAAATGGATAACACAATATCCAGAACACTACATTTTGTTGTTTCTTTTCATCTAGCATGACATGTTTCTTAAAGGAGAATTTAAAGTATGTGTAAATAAAATTTTGGTGAAAAATTGTCAATTATTACTAAAAGCACCAAAAAAGTTAGTGTTTCTTTCCCTTGCAAAACTCTTATTCTGTGTGTGTGTATGTGAAATATTATTTAAGTTTTTATTGGCAATAATTAAAAAAAAAGAAGTTTTTCATAGTTTAGACAAATTTTATTAATATTGCTATATGTCGATAAACATATGAATCTGTAGGCTTTTATGCCAGTTAGTGTTTAAATTTGATAGCAGATGGTGGAAAGTTTTCCTTGGACATCAAAGGGATAGTTAGTTCTGATTATATTTCTTTTATTGCATCATGATATAAAAGTTGAACATAAAATGCTAACACTAATAATCTTTTGGGAGGGAGAACAGGGAGAAATTAGTACTGTGTGACAATCTTTTACATAAAATCATGTGTTAGATTCAAAGCTTTAAGTTTATGTCTTGATGATTTATTCTTTAAAATGGAAAAAAAAAGTCTTTGATATAAAGATCTGAATTTGCACATTTATTAGAAATGCAACATTTTTGAAATTGCAAAGCAAGTTTTATGTCTATTTTATTTAAAGAAAACTGGAAGGAATAGATGTATGACATTCATATTGAAATGTAGCATGTCTTTCTACTTTTATAGATAAATGCTTAAATTAAAAAAAAAAAATTACAAATTTTTATAATAGTGTATACATACTATCAAAATATCAAGATTATTATGAACATAACTTAAATCATTTGAAATCTGAACCCAGATTTTGGATACTTCAAACATTATATTTTTCATATCTTTGCTGACATTCCCAAAACCAATTTTTTTATTGACTCAAGACTAGCTTGTAGGTTTACTAATTCTGTTAACTTATAGTAAAATCTAATTCAAGTAAAAACAATAATAATGAATAATTGGTGTTAAAGATATATAATATTGTGTCATTAATGCTTTCTATAATTCTGATTAATAAATAATTCAAATTGATAATAAATACACTTCATTTTACATAGTCTAGTTCACACCATAACAGTTGTTATTTATGCATTTGATGATATAGATAGCACCTAGACATCACTACCATGTTTGTCATATACCAACCAGCCTAAAGAGCCCCATTATTCAGCAAAAGACTTCATAGGTGCTAGATATGGCAGAGGGAGTGTAAAAACCCATCAAAAATGAAGGAAACCACAACATATAATTGAGAAAACATGCTACATATTGATGCTTTTGGATAAAATATTAAAATATATGCTGACCACATGATTGCATACACATCTATTCTTCTTCTGACAAAAAGTCATCTTCTTCCTACAGACATTTGGTATCTTCAGTCTGTTTTAACAAAGGCTTTTTCGTAATAATTTCCAAACATGGATTTGTGCTAATTCAGATCCTACCTAGCTTGACGTCATAATAATGTGGTGTCACACACATAATGCCATGCCTGATCTGGTCCTAGGAACTTCCTCTTTAACAGGCTTTTACATTGTAGAAAAAGTGTCAAAATTTAGGAGCTATTTACGCCTGTGTTAACAAATAAATTCAACCAAAATGGGAATGGGCAATCAAAAGAGGAAATATTATAGGAGAAAATTTGGAGTGACACTTTGCTTTTATATTTATTGATTCTTCATTGTTTTCAGTTATAAATCCTTATAATTTACTTCATACAGATACCTCAATAGACAATACTCAGTAAATTTTGTATGAACAAGATCTTTCAATAACAAAATTTTACTTGGGGATGTAGCAAGTTGTTAGAACCATTTTTTATACTTTTTTACTTTGTACATCTTAGTGTTTTGCAGTATATGAAGTTGATTTACAGTAACATAGGCATGGAAGTTATAAACTTCTTTATGGATGATTATTCTAAATGTCATTACTCTGCAATTGTGAATATGTATGCACTGTATACAACCACGCAAACGTTTGAAAATGTGTGACTAAACATAGCTGTATAGATGTAATGTTGCACAAAATGCAGCTTATTGCCTATATATACATGTTAAAACATTGGGTATAATAGTTTAGTACAGATATTCAGTCTAATTAAAACAACTTAAAACACCAACCCCTTTTAGTCCACACCCTCTACTTTGTACAGGTTGCTACGTGATGTAGAAAAGTGTTTTACTGTAGTGTAAGTGTTATAAACTTGTCCACATTTGATAAAAAAACATGAAAGTATTTGATTTCACTAAAGTTCAGACAATCTCCTTTTAACACGCAAAACACAAGTATTAGTCAATGTATCACCAGGACTTGAGGGTAACAAGGTTACAAAGAAGCACTTGCAAAATTATATGCTGTTCATAATGATATTCTGTGTTTTAGGAAATTTGTAAGCAGATCAACTTGGGAATTTTACAGCAAATATTCATTCATTAGTTAGTTAGGTCATGTATTTTGTATTACCCACTATTGTGTCCCATGTTGAACAAAAAAATGTGGCCTAACTAACTAATTGCTGTATAATTCTTATCAATGCTATAAGTGTAGTTACCAGTTTGGCTGCCAATTTTGATTTCATTCATTAAGTTGCATGCTCAATCCTTTTTTTCACACCTAAGGTGTTTTTGATTAGATGTATTTAATCAAAACACATCTGCAGTACTAATTAATACAATTACGCATGACATTTTACCTTGTGTGTTTCAAGTTTTGTAGACTTAATTGTGTTTTTTAAAGGGTGACTATACACTTTTAACTAAATTTTCTGTGAAAGTGTCAATTACAAGACTATTAAATAAAAATACAATCCATGAACAACCACTTCAAAACTGCATTGATGAATATTTTTAAGTTATCTTGAAATAATAACCATGAATTTGTGTACCTTTCACTAGGAATTTCATGTTTGAATGTTACTGATAAAGCAGGTGTAGATCTCTTACTAATCTGTCTATTGATGGTTAATATTTGAAGTTTCTTAAAGTTGTTTCTCTGTACTAGCTTTATGTAGATTAACACATTTACTGCTATTATACAGCTTGGGATATTATTTATTTTAGAAAATAATTGTAGTTAGAATAGGTTCGTTATCTTTAATGACTAAGTTCATTTAGTAAGTATTTAATTTTATTTAAAAATGAGTGTATGAGAAGGTAACACTCTTGAAGTATTGATATGAGTTTTTCACACATCAAATGAATCACTAGTGTGAGGAGACAGTGCACTGTTCTTCAGTTATGGTGTAGAAATAACAAGTATCGAACTGCTGGTTTGGAAGGAAATTAAAAATTTAAATCATGACCTGAAGATATTACTTTTGACAATGTCACTAAGGTAATAGTTTAGAAAAAAATCTACAGCTGGAATTCATGAATTAGGTGAATTAATGAGTATTCATTACGAGATCGTTTATAAACAACTGGAACTTTGACCATTGTTTTATTCAAATAGTGTATTACTAATGAACCTTGGAGAGTTTTCTTATCAAATAAT